AACCTGATGGGCAATCCAATACACTGTTCATGTAGTATCATCGACCTGGGTCTGCTCCTTCGGCGATTAGAGCCCCCTGGGAGTCATGTGGCCTGTGCTGAGCCAATGGAGGTGAAGAATCAGAAGCTAGTTGATCTGGCGACAAGCTACGCCTCTGCTTACAACGGAACTCGTCACCTGGGCTATCAATCAGACCCAAGTCTGTACCCCGCGGAGGCGAGAGATGGTGCGGGCGGTCTAATCCGACCTTGGCCTCTACCACACTGTCCTGTCGGACACGTGGGTGGAGAACTGTCAATAGAGGATATGGTAGTCGAACGCCGCGAACGTGCGCCGACGATTGTTACTGCACCACAGGGCGTTTCTGTCACCGAGGGAGAGAGGGCGTATTTCAGATGTGAAGCCGAAGGGTGGCCACTGCCCGTAATCTCGTGGATCCTGCCAACCAATCGCACGAGCTTCGTGCGTCTATGGGACCGACGACGTGTACGTGTTAATACTCATGCGTTTTGTCATCTTGCACTTCTACAGGGTCTATCATTTCCCCGAAGATTTAATCTCTTGTCAGTTCTGCCATTGCGCAGAATCTTATAGACAATCGCAAAGTAACCTCTCAGTTGGTTTGCCGTTATTGCAGTGATTACCTGCGCAGGCCCCGAATTACCGCAGAAAGGATGCACTGGCGATTATATCGACCATATCGGACTTGTGAAGATAGTTCGTTGTTGTTCCCTAGACTGTTGAACGAAAGCTAGAAAAGTACACTGCCATCAAATCCAGCAACTCCAATATTTTGGTATCTAAATGCGTTTAGTGAGAAGTAGATATTTCGGGCTTGCATGAGTGACCCTACTTTGCAACTGTTCGCTAAACTCAAATACTAGTTACGTTGGAAAAAATGAGCATTTTGCCGCCTCTTCATGGGAGGCAACTCATGTTGTTTTATGAATTTTTTCCTGATTTATATTAAGCAGATCCCCTATCATCTCCCTCTTGTGTTTCTTTCTACGCAGATTCTAGAGGTGCAAGAAGTGCATGCCTACCACGAGGGAACCTTCACTTGCGTGGCCGAGAATGCTCATGGTCAGGTGAAACACTCCGCGAGCCTGGAAATCCTGGACACACTAAAGCCGCAAATAACAGATGCTCCCGCCGCCCAAGCCAAAGGCGGATTGGTTGGGAGTGACCTTGTACTAAGCTGTTCTGCCCGTGGGCGTCCTAGACCCAGCGTCTCCTGGCTTTGGATGCGGACCACGTCAGCTCAGCGACTGTCCACAGAGAACCGGTACATTGTGCGTTCTGCCTCCAAACTGCAGGCCAGACCCCTGCAGGAGGGTATTTCGGAGCCAGAGGGGCCCTACTACAGTGAAGGATCGGAAGAATCCACCACGCTTATTATCCGAAATGTCACAACACGCGATGTGGAAGGTCGATACATCTGCTATGCAGCTAACAGAGTCGGTTCTGCCAGAGTCAGTTCCGTCGTCACTCTGCAGA